GGGGGGGGGGGGGGGGGGGGGCGGAGCCGCGCGCCCGCCAAGAAGCTGCGTAATGGCAGGCGGGCGGGCGCGCGTGCTTTGAAAGCGGCAATGCGGGTGGCGGGCGGCGCTTTGGGGGCGCGAAAAGGGTGCCACGGTCAGGCGGGTCGGCATGCTTGTATAACAAGGCCGAAAGGGCCACGCAGAGGGGGGCAACTGCCCAAGCACAGGGGGCAGCCGCCCCCAGAGGCCTCTGAGCAGCAGCCTTGCCCGGGACAGCCCCAGCGACGGGCAGGCTGTGAGGCCCCGGGAAGCGTTCGATGTGCAAGGCCCAACCAATTTTCAAGTGCAGGCTCTTCTGCAAAGCGCTAAACAATCGCCCGCATTGCGCCATGTGGAGAGTACCGGGCCGCGCCTGGGGGCCCGCGGGGCTCAGTCGGGGGGCGCGGAAGGAGGTTCTCGTGATCTGGGGTTGACCGGGCGTTAACCGCGCCTCAGTCCTGCCACAGCAGCGCGAGGCTGCCGGGGTCGTCATCAAGCAGGCTGCCCAGCCGCCCCAGGGAGAGCGCGCGCCCGGCCCCGGCGAGCGGCACCGGCGGGCCCCCCGCGGCGACCATCGACGGGCCGCAGCCGCCGGCGGCGAGCGCGAACGGCGCGTGCGAGTGGCCGTGGCCCGCGCCGCGGGGGCCGAGGCCGGCGTGGGAGCCGCCGCAAGTCATGGGGGCGCCGCCGCCGCCGAAGTTGTAGCTGCCCAAGGCAGCCAGCAGCTGGTGGTGCTCCGCCATCTGCTGCGCCTGCAGGTGCTGCATCTGCAGCTCGTGCTGCGCCGCCTGCTGCGCCGCCTGCGCCTGCTGCTGCTGCCGCAGCGCGGCCGCGCCGCGCGGCCCGGCGCCGGACGGCGGGCCGCCGCAGAGCGCGGAGCCTGCGCGGTCGTGCATGGCCGCGGCGGCGACGGCGGCGGCGTGGTCGCCGCTGCCCTGGAAGGCGGGCGCTGACATCATCATGGGCAGGGACGCGGCCGCCGACTGTGCCGGCGAGCACAGCGGAGGCGCGGCGGGCAGGGAGCCGTGGTGCATCAGCGGCGCGGGGCGCTGGGCCAGGTGGTGCGGCGAGTGCGCGCCGGCGGCCATTAGGGGCGCCTGCAGCGGGGACGACGCGACGAGTGCGGCGGCCATGGCCGTCGTATGGGCGGGCGGCGTGGCCGCGCCCGGCGCCTGCAGTGCCGCCGCGGCCACGCTGAGGCTGCTGCCTGTGCGGATCGGCGGCAGGTGGGCGCCCGGGTGGCGCGCGTGCGCCGGCGGCTGCATGGGCGCGTGCGCGAGCGCGCGCTGCTTCAGCGGCGGCTCTTGCGCGGGCATGGAGGAGGTGTGGGCCAGGCGGCTGCCGCCGCGCGGCGTGCGCGCGCCGGCCTCGGGCGCCGGCGCAGACACGACAGAGGGCAGCAGCCCGCCGCGCCTCGCGTCGCGACCGCAGTCCGCGCCCGCCGCACCGCCGCCCACGCAGTCGTCGTCGCAGGGCGAGCCCGGGGCGCGGCGCTTGCCGCCGGAGCGCTGCTGGCGCTGCTGCGCGCGCTCGTCGGCCCAGGGCGCCCCCGGGTCGCTCATCGCCGAATCGTGCGTCCCCAGGCCCCCATGCGCCGGGGCCATCACATCTGTTCAAAAGGATGGGAGCGACGCGGGCAGTGAGGCGCGGCACGGGCCCACAAGCGAGGCGTGCGGCACGAGGGAACACTGCATGGCTCGCCTGCCGCACGCGTGCAGCAGCGACCGGCGCGCGAAGACTGCGTGATATGCCGGCCGCATGCCCAAGGGGGTTGCTGAACGCGCTGCGCCGCGCACCCTCTTTCTTGAGGTCACGGAGCGTCAGCTTGAGGCCGGTGGGGCCCATCGTGGTGACAATCGGCAGCGACGTCTCCTTGTCCTGAGTCACCACGACAACGTCATCCGCGCACGACCCCGCAGACGCGGCGGCGGCCGCAGCAGCGGCAGCGGCGGCAGCGGCCGCAGCCGCAGCAGCGGCAGCAGGCGCGCCGCCGGCGGACTCCGCATCGTTCGCGCCCTGCGAGCCGCCGGGCGACCCGGGGCCGCCGCCGAGCGCGGAGCACGCGGCGCCGCCGCCGTCGCTGCGGGCGGTCGCCGCGGCGGCGGCGGCCGCGGCAGCGGCGGCGGAGGCGGCGCAGAAAGAGGCGCCGCGCAGGACGGGGGCGGCGCGCAGGACTGTGATCTCCTCCAGCTGCTCTTTCATGAGATGCATCAGCTGCTGGTTCTCCTTCCGCAGCTGGTCCCTCTGGAGAGCCAGGTCGAGTATGAGGCATGGGGATGCAGTTTGGGGGGGGGGGCATTCAGGTGGCGCATGCGGAGCTTGGGACGAGAAGCGGGCGCCGCATGGGCATTCGTTGTGCATGCATGCGGGGGGGCGAGGGGGCCAGGCGGCGGCGGCGGGCGGCGGTCGCTGAGCGGGCGCCCAAATTCGCACCTCAGACCGCAGCTGATTGACAAGGGTCTGCCGCCGCTCGCGCACGCGGCGGGCGGCCTCGCGGTTTTTTTGCCGCCTGCACGGCACGTACAGTGCGCGCAGCAGGAGTTCGCAGTTGCGGGTTGGTGCGGCGCGTTCAGGCGCTGCACGACATTGCGTGGCGCACGCCGCAACAGCATCTGTTGGTGCCCCAAGGCGCACGATCCACCCTGTGCCTGACCCTACTGCACGCGAACGCACCTGAGCTCCTGCTTCTCCGCATCGTCGTCGTTCTCGCTAAGGTCGAGCGCGTGGTCTTCATCAGCCAGGCTAGCTCTGCGCCCCGACTTTCTGCTCATTGGAGCACGTGCCCTGCGCCGGGAACTCTGCAGGTCGCACGAACTCTCTATGCTAAAGGCTGCGCTCCTACGGGCCTGGGGGTGGCCGCGTCCGGGGCGCGGGCTGCCGACCCAGTCGACCCCAACGCCGCGTGGTTGCTCCGCGTTTTCGATGTCGGGTTTTGATAGCTATGAAGTGGTCGGAGCAGGATGCGAAAAAAAGTGCAAGACAAAACGGCTCTGTGGTCGAGGACGGAGCCCTATCACTTTCGGCAAAGCCACACTCAGCGCAAGTGCAGCGGGCGCAAGGGCGGACAACGGTGACCGAAGTGTCTGCTGTAGAGTAGGTGTCGGATGTGAAGAAGTTGTGAGTGTTGTTTTTTTGAAAGCCAGCCACCAGGGCCACATTTGGCACCCGGCGTGGAAGCCGGTGAAGGCCGCACGCGGGGCGCGATCACGGCGATTCACGCCATGGGAGGTTTCGTCATCGCCATGCCAGCGGCCCCGAGGAGGGCCCTAGGAGCCCCACGACGCGGCCCCATGGCAGACTGAGGTGAAAAGGGGATGTTTAAGCTGCACATGTTGTGTTTTCAAGGCGCGCCCTGCCCTCTGCGGCGCACGGCCGCTCTATTCCTACGGCAGGGCGGCCACGGCGGCCCACATGACAAGCATGCGTGTGGCCGCCCGCCTCGATTGCACACCACATGCCACATAATCGTGCCGGATTCCTCGTCGCCTTCCGGCCGGCGGCATCGAATTGCGTGACCTCACGTAGCTGAGCGCTGCGGGCGGCTGGGCACACTGTTATACATGCCGTCGCTCTCAGAGGCCCGGGGCACACCCCATCGGGTCGCCCTGGCCGGCCGAGGCGAGCGCGCCCAAAGGGCTTGCAGTGCGTGGCCTGTCGCCGCAGGAGATTGCAAGTCTGCGCAGCTGCGGCCGCAGCGCCCTCCATGCTGCGGGCCCGGGCCCGCGAACTGGTCATATCTCCGGCCGAGCCGACCACTCACCACTCCCAGCGACTGTGGGGGCGACCGGCAGCGTTGAGCAGCACTTGTTGCCCTGCCTGCGAGCGCAAGCCCAGCAGCAACGCAGTGGTTCGTCTGTCAGCTGCAGCCCCTGTTCTTGCGCGCGCATCAAACAGCAGTGCCCCCCCGAGGCGGCCCCAGCAGCATGGCGGCCTGCACGGGTGCGGGTCACACTTTCCTGCTCAACAGATCCAGCTTCGGGACGAGAGGCAAGATGCTTGACTTAGGTGCATGCGACGCAGCCGGGCAAACCCCCTGCTCTGGGGGCAGGCGTGGCCCACTGATTCCCTTTCCTGTCACCGTGGGCAGTCTACTCAAAGCAGCCACATAGCAGCCCCTCCGCGGCGGGGGCGATCCGCCTCGCAGCGGCTGGCAAGAGCGCGCAAGCTCTGCGTGCGTTGCTTATTGGCAACTTGTTCTTGGGCCTTGATAGTCTGCATCTGCTGCACGCGACTGTGGTGGGTGGGCCACGCACTTGGAATGTCATCGAATCATATAGGATTGCTGTGGAACCTGGAGAGTGTAGCCTCCGTCTGAACAGTTACCCAGGGAGGACGCACCCCCTGCGCTCAGCTGCACAGGCAGTGCGCACAGGAGCCAGGCGGTCGTACCCGGGCAGCGGCAACGACCATTGCCGGCGGCCCGCCTGCCGCAAGCGGTGACCTCAAAATTTTGGGCTTGAAACATGGGGGGAGCCGCCACGGCTGCAACGGCAGCACGCAACTCCTTGATGTGTGGCCGATGCGGGGGTGACAAGGCAACAAAGTATGGCAGACGAAACGCCAATCAGTGATAGGGTTCAATGGTGTGCGTGCAGGCATGTGTGGCGTTGCCTGCCGGGCGTGTGTGGCGTCTGGGTTTCCGTGAGCTGTCCAAGATGGCCGCCTGAAACAACAGGTGATCAGGATGGTGGTGAGTACCCGAATGTTGGGACGCGCGCATGAGCAAGGCTGGCTCCGTGCATATACACACGCGCGCGTCTGTGCGCCTTAGTGTACGTGTGTGTTTGCTTTTGTGTGAGAGTGTGTGTTTTTGTGTGTGTTTTTGTGTCTGTGCCCATCAAAGGCCGAGCATGTGTGCGCCAAGATTCAGAGGGTACACACCACAGGCATGCTTGCCCGCGGCAAATCCGGGCGGAAAGAGCGGCTGGCACACGCACAGGCACTGCGGCAGGGAGTGGGGGGCGCCGAGGACGCGGACCGAACGCAATTGCAAGGTTTGTGTGGTCGTAGTGCGTCCCAATCACCGCGGGCGTTGTGATGGTTTGTGTGCCAGGGACCGAGTGCGGGTGCGTGCGGCCTTGGCGCGGCCTGGGGACCAGTGCTGGTGTGTTTTGCAATGTAGGGATGCCCCTCAACCCCCTTTAAGAATCGGGATCCGTCCAAGGACGCTTCACAGTCAACAAACGCAGCACCCCTTGCACTAAAACGTGCACCTGGGTCTGGCCGTTCGCCGGCACGGCTGCAACAGCGGGGCGGCCAGCAGCTGGTATCAGTGAGGGCACGGGAGTCATCTATTGCAACCCGTTTGGGGGTGCCCGGCTGGGCTGAATCGGCCGCCGGAGTGCCATGCAGTGCAGCAGTACTATTGCCTTGAAGAAAAACCGGTTCGGATTGCAACCATGAGGTGTGCATTGGTGCGACCTCATTTCACCTGCCCAACAGCGGCGATAATTGTCTGGCAAAACACCAAGCGCGCCCCCGCCACCAGCGCCGCCACCCAGGGCCCGGCGGCCTCTCAGGGATCCGACCTTGGATGGCTCGCTCTCACTCAGCGAGCTGGCCGTTCGAGCCGCCACCGGGCGCGACGGCCTGCGGCGCGGCCGGCGCGTGGTGGGCGGCGCCGCGGGCGCCCTTGGCGGGACGGCGCCTGGGCGTCATCGGCGGCTTGTAGGCGTCCCCCATCTTGGCATACCTGGGAGATAGTGGCAAGGGGTGCGCGGGTTCAAGAGGTTTGCAATGAGGAGCGAGTTGGCGGCAGCTGGGGGTAGGGGTCAAGGCGATGGTGCTGGGGGGCTTGACAACCGGGAGCGAGCCATCGCACGCGAGCGCGCCGCCGCGCACGCAGCAAGCAGCCGCCAAGGGCGCGTGCGGCGAGTGGCGGCCGCTGGCTGACGAGCGAGGGCGCATTCCCGGCAGCGCCCACGGCCGCGCCACGCTGACGCCGCGGCCGAAGACGCGCGTGCGAGCATGCAGCGGTTTCGCGTGCAGGCGGCCGGCTGGTCTGTGTGTTTAATAGCTCACTTGGCCTCGGCCTCTTCCAGCTCTGCCAGTGAGGGGCCCCCTGTGAGGATGAGCTGCGCCATGTCAGCGCCCACGTGCTCGTCCGCGTCCTGCCGGGGTGTGTTTGACCAGATTGTGATTATGGTTTGGATAAGGAATAGGATTTGGGGGTGGAACCAGGATTGGGAGCAGTGTTGCAGCGTTCCGACGTCGCCCACTAGAAGGACCATCAGGCGCGTCAGCGGACCGCGACTGCCGGCGCCATGCGTGCACAAGGGCTGCATGCATGAGCGCCGCCAACGCTGCCGCAGACTCGAGCATGCCGGCAAACATCCCAAGAATAATGCGACCATTCCAGGCGAGCGGACAAACATCCCCGCCTCAGGGCCGGCGCCGTCTTAACATCGGCCGTGCAGCAGTCAAACTGCGCTGCCAGCCAAAACAAGATATATTAGAATATGCCGACCTTCAGGTACTGCTTGAAGGAGTCCACAAACAGGCGCGCCAGGTGGGTGAGCGTGCCCGCGTACGCCTCGTCGTCGCCCCACGCCTCGTGGGGCTGCAGCTCCTCGTGGGGCAGGCCGTGGCAGCTGGCGGGCACCTGCGCGGCGCACGGCACCACATGCGGCCGGCCGGCGGCGGTGGTCTTTGGTCCAGACGCGCCAATGTGAAGTACAGTCCAGCGCTCCTGGGCAGCCGGCCCGCATCATCAGGCGCAGGTGCGTACATTGTCCCCAGACACATACACCCCTGCCTGCGACACTGCCGGGTTTATACCTGCTGTCGCTCATGGCCAGGTGTTGAGTCAGGGTCACAGATCATACAGATCACAGATCAGATCACCTACCTTGAGGCCGAAGAGGGGCAGCGTTTCGTAATCCACGTCCTCGAGCTCTCCCGCATGGATGGCGTCGATGATGACGCGCGTGTGCTTCAGGCTCATGCGCCGGCCCACGCCGTAGCTGCGGGACGCGTGCGTGCGTGCGTGCACGCGTGGGTGCGTGCGTGCGTGCGTGCGTCTGTGCGTGCTTTGGGCGGGGTGAGAAATGAGGCGCCAGGAGCCTCGAGGTGGGCGCGTGTTATTCAAAGCCGCGCAGTCTGACAATGTATTGGAGAGCTTGTGAGCCAGGAGGGACCTGACACATCGGAAAGGGGCCCCCCCTCCCTTCGCGCGCTGAAGGACAACGCATCTGGCCTGCACCCGTCAGCTGTACAAACAGGTCGCCGCTTGCAAATGGGTTGGTCAAACCCACCTCCCGCCCGTCCAGCCGGTGTTGACGAGCCACGCCTTGGTGCCGTGCTTCGACATGCGCTCGGCTAGCATGGCGGCGTACTTCATGGGGTGCCACACCTGCAGGGTTGACCGGGGGTTGACCAAGGTTTGACTGGGCCATGAAGGAGCGGGGGCCGAGGCCCACCCTGTGGACCGCGGCCAAGCCGATCAAGACAAGGGGACTGCGTTGTGGCGAACCGCCGCCCACCCCCCTCTATTTGATCAAAGTCCATCCAGCCGCCGGCACCAGCAGCGCCACAGCCGCCCGCCCCAGCTAATTCACGCAAGGCGCATGCGCCACAGAGGGCGCACGCCCCGCGAGAGCGGGTCGCGCAGCCGCGGGCCGCCTTGGCCGCGCACCAGGAACGCGCCGCCGTAGCAGGCGCTGAAGGTCGCCTCGGGCTCTGTCACGCCCATCTCGGTGCCGGCCACCTGGATGGGGTGTGTGCAATACAGGGGTTGCAGCAAACGCGGCAACAGAATTGAGGTTTTACTGCGCCTGGCGCCGCAGAAGAGGGGGCCACTGCGTGCGACAAGCGGGGGCAGTATGCGCGGCGGGCCGGCAGGCGCGCAGTATTCTCCAGACCGGCACAGCTGCGGGTGGCCACACACACGCTCTTGATGGTGATGATAATGCACCTGCCGTGCACACCACCACCCGACACAAGCCAGCGCCCCGTGCAAGGGCTCAAGACACACTTGCGCGCGCCCAGCAACCAACGT